CCCCGTTGCTCCGCGCTGCAGAGAAGCCTTGAAGGCTTATAAGGTCAAAAGCGGCCTTTTCCTCTGGGCTAGTTCTGGTTTGTTTCTTGGGGTGTTTTTTTTTTCTAAATGTTTTTGGTTTGTTTTGCTTTTAACTGCTCCCGCTCGTGTACACGCGGGCCGTGCTAGTCCCAGCAGGGAGGCGGCAGCGGTGCGGCCGGCGGCACCGACCCCTAACGCGGAAGCCCTGCAGGGGTTTCTGCGTTCTGCATTCATCTGGCTTGTTTCCTTCCTTTCTTTCGGCGGGGGGGAAGTGGGGGGGGGGGGGCCAGGAGCAGGCAGTCAGTGGAGGGTCCAACCACCAGCTCTGAAAGGCTGTAGTTGCTCTCCCAACCTTCTGCAGGGGTTAAGGCCACAGGAGCAAAGACAAGCAGCTGCTCCAGCTCTGTAATACTCGTAAAAATAGAAAAAGTGCACCTTTTTGCGCGTTGGCTTGCTGTGTTTCACTAGAAACTGGAAACTGACGGTTTACAACTGTGAATGCATCAAAGTCTACTAACCGGCCAGCTACGATTGTGTTTGGCACCCTTCCAGTTATTGTAATCAAACTCGTCATCTCTCCTGCCCTGGTGCAACTACACCTGGACGCTAGTTACTAAATGGCACCGAAGACTGTGCACATCTTGTCTGTGCTTGTGGTTTTATCATATTCCCAAAAAGTGCACCTTTTTGCGCGTTGGCTTGCTGTGTTTCACTAGAAACTGGCATATTGTTTCCTAGTGCCCTCGAGCATGTGTACAGCAAAGGTCCGTTTTTCAATGGAGGAGGAATAGCCCATTTTCTATTTAAATTACATACTTTGTGGTTTGTGGCCAAAGACGAGCTAGTCCTTGGGTTTTGCATGCTCAGGAGACAGGATACACCTGCTTTCTGGGCAAAGCGCGCACAAGTGGGAAGCCAACGTAAAGAAACAGGCCTGGAGTGTAAAACTTCAGGGTGATGTGTGGCTACTTTTCCAGCGAGAAACTGACAGCGGTTTACAACTGTGAATGCATCAAAGTCTAGACACCGGCCAGCTACGATTGTGTTTGGCACCCTTCCAGTTATTGTAATCAAACTCGTCATCTCTCCTGCCCTGGTGCAACTACACCTGGACGCTAGTTACTAAATGGCACCGAAGACTGTGCACATCTTGTCTGTGCTTGTGGTTTTATCATATTCGGTGTTGATTCAGACGAATTTATTGACAACACCTACTAAATCAACAAGGACTACTTCAAATGTAGGCAAGTGCCTACAAAGTGCATGCTGCGGAAAAAAAATAGGAAAAATCCGACAGGCTACCGCTGCAGTAGTATTTCCTTCAAGAAATCACTCAAATGCAGTAACAATCTTCCCACGTTCCTTTTTTTTCCCATCACCAAATTACTCAACTAATAGATTGACATACATTTTTCAGGGTAAACTAAATTTTCTTTCTTTAGCCTGGTAGTCACTGCAACCTGATGCCTACAGTGCCAGGCAGGCTATTTTTAAAACTCTTCTACAGATACTGACAATATACTTAGACACATAACATCATAATCTTTTATGTATTACTTTTTTGTAGGGATGAATATGCAGAGGAAATTTTTTTCAGTTACACTTTTACCATTAAACAGTTTCCATAAGCTGCAAATGACAAAAAATATTAAAATCTTCAGATATTTAGGAATATCAACAGTAAAACCTTAAGTAATTGCGTCTTTAGTGATTAAAAAAAAAGTTGCATTTATTAAAAATTTAAGAAGCAATTCTTTAAAAATGTAGCTGTTAACATCAAACTAAAAACACTGCTACACAAAAGAACAAATTTCCCCTTGTTTTCATGTTTAAGAGTAATTTCTTTCTTCGCAGAGAATCTGCAGCCAGCCTTCAGTAACAGATAGCTTTGTCCTGGTGAAAAGAAAGAGCTGAGTAGGTGACCTTGCTTTGTATTTTTTCATTTAGGGCCAATCACATTGAAATTAAATTCAACTTTCCTGTAGATTTCAGGGTCAGGAAAACAAAGTTTCTAATATATTGGGCTGACTGAAAGAACAGCTATAGAATGGAACAAATCCACCATGAACAATATAATATTATCTGAAAGATGCATACCTTAGGGTGGTTCCAAGAGGCAGCTCAAAGGACTGGATCTCAGCAAGGGCATTTTCATATATCTGATCTTTGTTTTCTTCTAGATACAATTCTGGCAGATTTGACTTGCTTTTCCTTGCCATAGATTAACATAAAACTACTCTAACTTTAGGAGAGGACTTTTATTCTGATTATTATCGTTGACTAAGTAACTCTGTAGTCAGCAAAACCAGGCATGAAAAAACAGATCCTGCGCTAACCTCGTGACTCCTGAGGACTTTGTGTCCAAGAATGGTGCACAGCTGCTGTTTTCCTGTCTCTGCTGGTAACATTTGCCTTGTATGCAGTACCCAGGCCTGCACAGTCTTTTTGGTTTGTGCGTCCAGTTTATTTATCTTAACAGGAAATTTACTGGCAAAAATAATATTTTTACATCCTCGTAATAGTTCACCAATAATAAATATTAAGCCTGAAATTTAGTCAGTTTGAAAACACAATTTTAAAGTCATTTCAGACACTAGACATCAATGCTCAATTTCTCTGTTAAGTTTTATGAGATTAAAAATAATATTTTTTTTAAAGTACTGTATTTTTCCTTTTGCCGTATAAAAAGCCTGCACACACAAGAAATTAGCTGGTTCTATGAAGCAGGTTTATGGACCTTGTAAAGCAGACTGGAAAAACAGAGAAACTTTTATGTTCTCGTCTTTTTCAGCATTAGTAGATGCTACTTATAAATAACAGAGTGCAAAAAATGCTCTGGGATAACTGTGGGTTTTGTATGAGTGTGCAATAAACAAAACCATTACTAATTCATTACCCACGTGGAAGAAAAAGAAAATGGGTAAACTCCTACAAATGTTGAGAGCGGTGCTGCTGTCAAGTCATTGTCATTATGATGATGGCAAAGAAAACACTTTGCACAACTGCCACCAATTACTTTCATTTCAGGCAGTTATTTCAAATGTGAGACTGGAGTTCTAGATCTTTCAATTTAAACAACTTTTTAGAAGCCTAATTCAATATTATGTGGCATAGTAAATCTTCTTATATTTGGTTATTTTGGATATTTCAAAGGTTTTAATCAAAATTTGTCCCCTATCTCAGTACTGCTCCTGACAAAATTGATGAGAGTCTTTACACTCATGGTGCAGTCAACAGTTAAATGCAGGAAAACATAAATTACTCATCTCTGACCAGGGCGATATATTGTTTATTCACTTCTCTGTGCCCAGCGGGAACGCTGAGGAGATGCGTTCATGTCAGTAGCAGTGGAAAAGAGCTCTAAAGGCTACAATGAGTTACACACGTACAAATCTGTGACGTGTTCCCTTGAACAAGCTGCTTTAATCACCTGTTTATTTTTAAACCAAAATTAAGCAATTGCTCTGTTAGCATTAATATCCAATACATTTCCTGCTTTCGTGTGCTAAACAGAGTTGTGAGCCATTTTTACACCTTCCACAAGAAATGGGAGCCTGTGATTGACCCATCCAGCCACTGGATGTCACACAAATGCAGATGAAAGGATATCGTAACTACTCGTTCTAATCTTAACAGACACCAGATTCAGTATTAATTTATCAATTATGAGGTGACACTCTGAAAGTAAACTGCAAAAATTATTCCACTGAATAAGGCACAGGCAGGCCAGGTAAATCAGAGACGCCTTGGACATCTACACCCAGCCATCACACACCGTGGCTTGCAAGAAAATAGGATGCAGTGATGGGAGCATGATCATAGAATCATAGAATCATAGAATCATTGAGGTTGGAAAAGACCTCTAAGATCATCGAGTCCAACCATCGACCCAACACCACCATGTCCACTAAACCATGTCCCTAAGTGCCTCATCTACTTGTCTTTTAAATACTTCCAGGGATGGGGACTCCACCACTTCCCTGGGCAGCCTGTTCCAATGTTTCACCACTCTTTCAGTAAAGAAATTTTTCCTTACATCCAATCTAAACCTCCCCTGGCACAACTTGAGGCCATTTCCTCTTGTCCTATCCTATGATGCTTTATACAGAGTGCTTTTGTGAATGTGCTTATGTGATTTTAAGTGAGTTTGATACTTACAGAGGCTTTGGGTACAATTTCTTCTTCCTTCTTTCCCAAAAACTCACACAGAAGCTTGCTTTAGGAATAAATCAACCAAAATAAACAGTACTCTGAATCTGCTGTGCAAATGTTGTAGGTATCACAGTCGCCTGGAAAGAAATATGTTTAATATCAAAGCAAAACAATGTAAAAAGAAACAAACAAATACAAAAGTGAATGACCAAGAAATAGGCAGGTTGTTACGGTCTGTTTGGTTGTGCAAGTGGGTGTTGAGGTACCTTGGTTCTCTGTACAGGGTTAGACAAAATTGTACCAGGCCCGGCTGCTTGGCTCTCCAGAGTGGTTTACACCCGCGCTGGACCTGTGTAAGACCATGACGTGTGGAGAAGGATCTAATGTATAGTGGTGGATCTGTACCTGACCCCAGATCCGTGGGCAGGAGTCCATTAATACCCACCAAAAGCCCTTTCTGCTGCAGGTGATCCTGCTTCTTCCCTGTGCTGCCTGTCCAACCTGCGCTCCCCCTCTCCGTTTCTTCTGCTCCTCCACACCTCTTCCGTAATACCGGTGCTGATTAGACGTGCCCACAGTCTGCATCTTTCAGTCATACGTGAGCTTTTCCTTTTTCCAGCTGAGTTCAGGGCCACTCTTAAAAGGCTTTAGGGAACTGCCTTGTCCAAGGAAATAAAGTTTTTTTTGCAAGAAGACAAAAGGACAAATTCAGTACTGTGACATGACACAAGCTGATACATTCATCAGCTTCTGGCGAACAGTGTCTCTTTACATCGCAACTATACATAACATGCTCAGAGGCTGCAGCTAAATAGACTATCAGCAAAGACAGTGCTAAGTATTTAATTTTTTTTTTTAAACGTTATGGTGCTCCCCATGCTGAAAGGGAGAGTAGGAATTATCGTTTCTGAGGCATCATACTTGTACTGGTTGAAATTTAACCAGGTCAAGAATCCTGAGAAAGTATTAGTATGCTAGAAGTCCCTGACAGAAGAAGGGAAGGTATTTTCTGTGCTTGTTAAATTCTCACTATTTCTGTGAAGGAAGATTTCATTGCCTGGACAGGCAGAAACCTCAGGGCCTGTGAGCCATAAAGACAGCTGCTGCCATCTTTCCAATCATCCTGAGATTTTTCTTTGAAAAAATATGCCAAAGCACCTATTTCTTGCTGAAGGTGTAAAAATGGTTCACAACTCTGTATAGAATAAGAGGGGAAATTGAGGCAAACAACAAGATTGTGAAGCAGGATGCAGAGGCTTATCTAGAGCAAAACCACTTTCACCACGTCCTTTCTCCCTTTCCTCCCCTAATTCCCACTCTTCCCCAACCGCAATGGGATACCAGAGGGCCAAGAACTGCTGGTTTAAATCTAGCCTGCCTGTGTTAATGCTTTAAAAATAAGTTTTACCCACATGACAATTACAAAAAGAGCAGCAGGTGCTGCAGTATAGTCTCATCCCTACTAGGTATGTAATTCTAGTGTAGATTACTTTTTCTTTTAAATTACCAATGCAAGATTAGCAGCATCAAGTCATCAGAGATTTAATTGTTTTAATGTTTAATTTTCTTTCCCAGTTGGATTGGAATCCATTTTGAATGATTCATGGAAAAGAGGGAAGGGGGAAAATGTGCACCCGCAAATGGAATTACTATAGATAATTTTCACATGCAATGCCATCCATAACAAATGACTTCATTGGTCATTGCCCGGATATCTCCCCTTTATATCCCTCCACAAGGACAGCAATGGCATTAGTCATTTCTCTGGCATCTCCTGCTCTGGTGCTGCCTCCTTTCCTGGGCTCATCCCCAAACTGGACCCTTGCAAACCAGCTCATTCTCCCTAGAACCTGTGCTGGCTGCTCCTGTTCCCCTTGTGCCTGCTTCTTTTCTGGTGACCAGACCCACTTCTGCCTGCACTTCTCTACAACGCGTTACTACTAAAACATCTCTTTAGCAAGCATCTGATAAAACGTATTCTTTTAAGGTTGCCGAGTTTCCTGATCACTCCATACTGCCAGTATATTACATACCAGCAGGGAAATGACTTTGTTTTTTCAGAGCATTTAAGTGAATTATGCTTCCTGAATTGTAGTCAAAATCTGTAAATACATTGCTTTTTGTTTTAATTACACTGGATTTAAGAATTGGACAGCGTATATAACAATCTTCACCAAAAGACTGAGGAAATAACATTCTATTGCACATTTACACCTGTTATTTTTACAGCAAATTGCTCAAAACAACACACATTTTTCCCATTAGGAAGGCAGCGCATCACTAACTACTTTTGACATTTCATTGACATCTTACAAGTGCCTAAAAATATCAGGAGAGATCCTCAGCTGGTGCTGATGTTATCTTTGTAAAAGTCAATAAAGCCATCGAGACTACTGGCTTAACAGAGGCACTTCTGTCTGACAGCAGCGGGCATGAGAGGAGAATCACTCTCGTCATACATGTTTATACAATGCTCGGTGCCGTTGAGGAACAAGTACTATCTCATTTTCATTGCAACATACAGACCATGGAATAATGCTCAGTCCAGCTCTGGGCACATGCAAAAAGTAATTAACAGTTCAGACTAAAAAAATACATCTACTATATTTTAACACAGCGTTTGAATTTCAGATTTGAAGGAGACACTGATTAATAACGTTGGATAATAGCTTACAAAGTAGCTTCTTTATCGTTCTCCAGAACAAAACAACTGATGCATAAAAAAATTTTCTCTCTGCTTACTAGTGCTTTTAAGGAACAGGTGTCGATTAAAACCCTGAGTCAAGGACGTGTCTCGGGAGCCTGAGGGCTTTGCTTCCTTGTAGGCAGTGAAGAGCTGTATTACAGACGCTGCCCTGGAGGACATTGCTTTTCTGGAACAGGAGGGCTTTTTTTCTCCCCACTTTAATAGCATCTAGTCTTAGATAGCCACAGCATTTAAATTTCTTATGTAACCCAGGAGAACTTTCCTGAGAAAATCAGCCCCTGTTCTAGTTTGGGGTATGAGCGAGTCAGAAATTAAAATGACTTTTGAGTTTAGGACGAATGTATGATGGACATCTGACTGGCGATGGCCAAGTGACCCCAACTTGGCGAGCTGCTCTGTCAGTCAGACCACAGTGACTGACAAACACCGTGCCCGCTCTGAGCCTATCCTCGCTGCAAACTAGAACGCTTTAATTGAAACCACCACGAACAACCCACTCAGAAGTTTGATCATTTTTATCATGGCC